ATTTGATAAGCCAATTTGATAAGAAAGGGATGAGACTCACTTCCCCTGCCCTTACCACCCAGCTCTATCAGCTATAGAGACCCATCTGCCACTTTCAGTTCTTGGCTGACAGTATTGTAACAGGAGTACCAAAAAAAGAATTCCACTTCTTTATGCCGGCGCTAAGAATGATAGACTCTCTTGTCTAATGGAATGAAGGAGTTCGTATCATTTTGAGAAGAAGAACCATTCCTGACCAACTTATAGGGCAGAAACTACAGCGTATAGGTATGTATGTAGGGAAGCTTTGCTTGTAGGTTTTTCACACTTCACTTGCTCGACCAAAGGAATAGGAATAGAGAGTCAATGCATCTATCTTAGTCTGCTTCTGCGTCTGAAATTCATTCTTTTGCGCCTCAGCCTTCCAGCCTTCTAAGCGAGGAGTCAGCTAGTTCTCTTATCAACGGCAATCTCATAAAGCCGCTCTATCATACAACTAAAACATCGAGGAAGCTGTTTTACCCGAACCCAAATAGTCGACGCTGATCACAGGTCTCGACGAGCCTGATCTTTGTTTTGGAAAAGGAAGAATCCATTTCCGTAATATGATGAGTAGAAGCACTATTCAATTACAGCTTTCACTCCCTGCACTACTACTGTTAACATATCCCTGTGAAATTAAAGGGACTTCCTTACTGACTTATCTAACTAAAGTAATCTTTAATGAAAATAGATAGTCATTGAGGCAAGCAGCCAAGGAACTAGCTCGACGCCGCAAACGTGAGTATCTTGGTACTGACCGGCCATTCTGATAGAGGAGACCTACTCTAAGCCAAGAAAGAAGAAATAGCCTACATAGTATATGCAGCCATTTTGTTGACTAATGCTTACGCGTTTTGTGAATCTTTTGAATATCTAAATCAATATCAAAAGAATTTCTTCTTGAGCGTATGCAATCGGTGAAGAGGTTGAGGCCTTCGTTCGGTACAGGGCATGAAGCCCCCATACATCTTTGTACATTCATGGTCTTTACACCAAATGTTGAAGAAGCCTTCAGGGATGAAGCAACAAGAAGGATGAAGAAAAAAAGCCAAAGACACCCCCCCAAAGAAAGAAAGGAAGGCTCAACAAACTCTCCTGTAAGTGTGAGGCCTCGGTAAGCAAAAAGCTATAAGTCGAAAATCATCTAGGTCCGTTGATGAATCTCTTTCCTGGGTGACTAGGCTGATGCTACTGAACTCGCCGGGGAGTACCGTGTGGAAGGACTTTTCGAGATCGTCAGCGGGTCATCCCCCTTCTTTCGGCCCCCCTTTCGTATTCCGTTCTGTCAACTCCGATGGATTGCTTCTTTGCGTCGGGTAAGGATTTTCCCTTCTGGTTGGCGGGTCGTAACGTAAAGTGGTCTCCAAGTGCTCATGCTGCTCCACCCTCTTTATATTGTAACAAGAGAGAAAGCGGTTCGTATTCAAAGTCAGGACTTGAGATGGCGGAGATGGTATATTATAGACGCTAGGGATGCCCCGTTCATGACGAATTCATTTGTCAACCTCTTGCCAGAAGGTGCGCTAGCAAGATCGAGAACACTCCTTTTTGGTTCAACTCCAAAATACCTTGTTTCATTCTTTTCGGTCACCCTTCCCCTTCCTGTATCGCTTGTTAAGAAAGAGCCCGCCCCTTTCTTCAATTCAATGAGTAGCCGCGCTAGAGTCCGGTCGTTAGCTGACCCTAGGACCTTTCTTTTTCTAAGCGGAATACGAGCCGGGGCGAGCCACACCACAGTGTAAATGAGACAGACGTGAATCAATATGCGTTGAACCAGTCATACATACGGCATATGGGGAAAGGGAAATAGCGTCTGAGATGTGCGCTATAAGACTTCCTACCCCTTAGCATGAACCTCTAGCGACCTAGCTAATTACGGATGCGGATGACCAAAGAAGCAAACCGGCTATTCCTTCAGAAGGCATGGACTCCAGGGCAAACCACTCTTCCTATCTGATTGGTTTACCAAGATCCGGCTTACCTGACTTTGAGGGGGGAGCTTATGCTCGGTGCAATCCATACTCATGAGAGGTCCTATTCCTAACGTGACTCGTCCTTTCACCGTAAGTTCTGACTATTCTATTCACTCCACATTGAATAAAGCAGAAGAGACGGAGGAAAGAGGATTGGGCATTTATTAGGCTTTCTTTGATCCTTCATTTCTCGACTAAGACTTTTTGTCATATCATCAATTCCATCCAATTCGTTTCTCTTTTCTTTTATAAGAGAATCATGGATCCGGGCTCAGAGCGGAAAATTTCATTTGAAAGAGCATCCAATGGTTAGCGTTCGGCAACGAGTGCCTCAGACGCTGTGTGGTCTACTCTACCTCAATTCACCATTTCGAACCCTCCCCGTTATGACTTAGAGCATCCCTCACGTCTTATAAGTGACTTGCGAAAGGAAGGACAAGTTGGTTTGAGGACCCGTTGGTCAAAGGAAAGATGGAAACAGGGGAGTTGGCTGATAAAGATGGACAGTAACGATCGCGTAATATCCATTTTTCGGCCTCGTCATCGAAAGCGTCTTCCAATTGCTCGGAAATTCTCAGCTATATGGGGGGCTTGGATGGTGAGCAAAAACAATTGATCACGAAGTTGGTCAACTTTCGCATGAAAGAAGGTAAAAGAACAAGAGTTCGTGCTATTGTTTATCAAACTTTTCATCGCCCAGCCCGAACTGAACAAGATGTAATCAAACTTATGGTTGACGCCCTAGAGAATATAAAGCCCATATGCGAAGTGGAAAAAGTAGGAATAGCAGGTACTATTTATGATGTCCCCGGGATTGTAGCCAGGGATCGTCAACAAACCTTAGCTATTCGTTGGATCCTTGAAGCAGCTTTCAAACGACGTATAAGCTACAGGATAAGCTTAGAGAAATGTTCATTTGCTGAGATACTGGATGCTTACCGAAAGAGGGGAATTGCACGTAAGAAAAGGGAGAATCTTCATGTACTGGCTTCCAAAAATCGAAGTTTCGCGCATTTCAGATGGTGGTAAAGTGAGACCACATAAAGAGCTCTTCCTCATTCAGTCAAATTATTCAGTAAGATATGGTTCCTTTTTGTTTGAATCTTCATATAGAAAGCCGGCTTCCTCATACTTCTCCCTTCATTCATTGAGTTGGAGGAATCCATAGGAGGCCCGCCCGTTATGCATTGCATGAAAGAGCCTTTCTTTCTACGACTTCTCTTTTGCCCCAGGTCGAATGAGAAAGGGAGATCAACCCAAAAATAGGCCATGAATGAAGAAGTAGCGGGCCTTTCATCCTCTTTCTAGTGACTCTCGGGGAGAGCTGATCTAATAAATGCACTTCAAAGGGAGGGAAGCTAGGTTTCCCATTTCTTATTCTGAGAAGGATCGTTTGTTTCTGTATACTTGCGTCTTAGGACTACCCTTTGTAATGACCCCGTTGAGCTACCTTTTTCTTTTCTTGCCGGGTCTATTTCATTTTCCAAAAGAAAACTAGAACCTGATTTCCTAATTAGCTTGGGATCTTATTTGATTACTAGGTGGATGTCAGGTCCAACCAAAGCACTGCTTATTGAATAACTTCACTTCAGCACCACCCTATGAGCAGCGAAGTCTGTTGTTGGGAAGGAAAAGCTTTCTATCCATTCTCTGGCCAGTCATTCTCATGATTGTTTTCTATGGCCATGATCGTTCGTTTTAAGTCCCTTTCTCTGCCGTTCACATGTTCTTACCCAAATAGGACTCAATCGGAGGTTTTCCAAGCACGAAAACTACCATACAATGGAAATCAAGCTGTTCCTATCCCACCCAGTCATGTTCAACTTCGAAGCTTCTTTGATCAAAATCTTGTTTTTCATAGGCTGTCTGCTTTCTATCTTCCTAACAAAAACACTCTTTTTAGAAGTTAGCTTTACCTATGGATCTCGGCGCCTTTCATAGTAGAATTTGAGATCCGCAGGCTATGAAAGATCTAGCGTCTTGCTTGTAATAAGTAGTCATCTTCGGTCACTTAGAACCCGGAGAACAGGGATGATACCTTTCTGCTCGCTCTCACCATGAAGATAGATTGGCAAATAGACGGAGACGAGAGGCTAGACGAGCACTGTGCGTATGATTTATTGTGCTCTTTGCAAATGAGACTTTCTTAGACCATTTCCCACACTCAACGGATGGTTTTTCTCCTTCTGGTGCAATCATGCATGCCACCTATATAAGGTAAAGGGCGACCCCTTATTCCGAGAAACCCAAGGTGGTATACGAGTATAGACGGTTATTGAGATCTAGCTTTAGCTCGTGATGACGAGAAAGTGGCTCAAAAAGTAGCTACAGCGGAGCGGTAGTTATTGGCTCAATCAAGTGCACTCCGTTCACCCCCCTTTTTTTATTGATTCATGAAATTCTAGATCTGACTTTGTTCGACTGGAATATGGAATCAGCCAGAGCTGGCAATTGTCCCTTAAAGTCAGTGATGGCCGCTTGCAAATCAACTGGGAAATCCTGGTGTTGGCTGAGTGTTGTGAGCACTGCTGTCAATTCCACTTCAAAATTGGGAAGATCTGTGGGGTCATTCCATAGCAGATTGATCAAGGATTGTTTTCTTTCCTCTAAAGTTTGTTCTGGCAGACTTTATGAAGTAATGGGAGTGGTTCCTGAAGATGTACCTTCTTATTCTGTCACAGAAGTCACAACATTCTGGAAGAAATCACTTAGAATAGAACTCCAACCATTCTACTTATGGAAACCGCTTGCCACCGGGATCAGCCAGTTGTCAATTCATTTTGCTTCGGAAATAGAGGCAACAAAGCCACCCTACTTAGATATCCCCCGATCGCGTTATTGGATTAGTCAACTTTCTATCTGAACCAGACCCTTGCCCTTGCATTGAATGCAATATTTTTCAAAAACTTTCCAGAAGGACGTTCGCCAAACAAAAGAGTGGAAATGTATTATTTACTTGATTCCAAAGGTTCTTAGCCAACCGTTGACCGAGACTACCCGCTTGCTCATTTGCTTACTACGATGTTCACTTACGCGGGTCAGATTCGAGATTCTTGGCCTGCTGGTTCATTTTCTGTTGGTGGAGTGGCAACGACCCTCTACTCTTGAACTTTCAAGGCTCTTATTCGTTGAAGCCTTCAGAGAGAAATCGGGGTATCACCCCAACATAGGGAGTGAAGCAGTGTCAAAATACCCAATCAGTTAGTTGGGTCGGCATCGGTCCACCTAGCCAAGGCTTGTCTAAAAACCCAAGCATCCCATCCTTTTGTCTTGGCGATCCTACAACACTTCTCTTCTATGCCCCTTGTAGTGACCTTTAAGCCACTTTCTCCGCCTCTTTCTCAGTATTTCCCATTGAGTCATCCCTCGTCTGTTTTGCTGCCTTTTATGAGGCCCAGGAGTTCAAGCTTTCCCTTATGCTTGTGTTCTTCCCCCTCTTGGTCTGGTTTACGGTGCACCCACTCGAACCAGTTCTTCCTTCTTTAGCTTAGCAGCAGGTATGTGAGTCGGAGGTTTAGCATGAGCTGATTAGCTGGATTGGGGTTCGACCCCTGCCACAGAAACATAGGCTTGGGGTGAGGTTCATTCTTTTTCATGAAATAGGACAGCTCTTCATATCTCTTATAATAATAATGAGTTGGTCTCTTTTTCCACAGACTACTTCTCTCTATAGGCTTTCGCAGCATTTCTGTTCCGACATTGAATAGAGTTCTGATCTTCCGACATCTCACTCGTAAACGTCTAATCTGCCTTCCCTAAGCTTCATGTCTTCTCGCACGCGCGCACCAATCCTGGGTAGCATTCCGTGCTTGACTATTACTGGTATCTGTTTAAGTCCTATTGTAAGACCTATCTGCACTACTACCTCCTTCCTTTACCTCTCTCTGCTGGTCCGGGTACTGGTGTATTTCTTACTAGTGCTTATGGTAGTAGGCCGGCACGCAAGCCTTAATGATTGTTTTTTTTGACAGCGGATTACGCGAAAGAATTCATAGTAATTGAGTCAGAATTCCTAAAGAGAAGGAGTTCCAGGCAAAGAGGACAGCCTTGTGTTTGGGGGTACTTTCGAGCATAAGCCATTCTCAAAGGAGTTTCCACCTTCGTTGTACTCTCTTCTTTATGTATGAGAAATAGAAAGAATTGTAGAATTCAGTGAGTAAGATCCGCTCTGAACTTGAACTGCAGGAGGCCAATTCCGAGAGATTTCCTGATTCTTTCAGGCAAGTGATCGAACCGGCTCTGCTAATGGTTCTTCTGGGAATGCTGTTGAATCCTCTTGAGAGATGGAGTGAATGCCATGGCCAACCTATTTCTTTTGACAGGCACAAGTGTCCAAATTCGATTCAAGCACCCGAGTTCCGTGGGAATGGATTGCCATTCCTATGAATAGTCTTCAAAAAGAATACACATCCCCCTGCCCACCGAACAATGAACATGAATCTTTGGGAGGACGAGGTGGAATCCTCTAGTTCTCCCGGGGATATGTGCCTGGAAGAGGTGGCGCCAAAGCTGGAATCGTTACCTTTAAGTGGAGTCTGTGCTATCATTGCCAGATAACCTCACTATCTCATTTACGCTTGTGCAAGAAATTCCGCTGATACTCAATATTGAATATTATTTACTAATATGGGTAAGCTTGTCGCTTTGGTAATCCTTCGTAAAGGGTTCTTCCCTTTTCTCTTCTTCGAGTTGACACTTCAGGAATAGCTGTGTCTTTTAGATCGTCCAATCAGTGGTGGTAGGCCAAGATATTTGGTATGTGGATTACCTCTTGGAATGCCAAAAATCTCACCCAGCAAGTCCTTATCATCTTCACTGACATTGCGACTGAAAATCAAAGATTACATTATGTGTTGCCCAGTTAGATGCTCATAACGCCACAGAATCTGTCGAAGAGTGCTCACTTCTTCCACAGCAGCCCTGAGAATATAGAGTCATCGGCGAAGAGCATATGCGAGATAGTTTTGGGGCTTGACCGACTGATTTTGCTGCTATATGAGAATGAAGTTTTTAGAAAAGAGACTAGGTCGTAAGGCGAAAACTCAATGGAGGACGAAAACACGGGGTTTCCTAAACTTTCCACTTTAGAACTTTAGCGCGAGCTCTCTTTCTTAGAACATCTGATCAATCCTACTACCTATGAAGAAAAGAGAGGTGCTGGTCCCCAGGCTCACCGAATCGACACAAAATGGAGTCATTGAAGGAGAATTAGTCATTTTGCTGCTATATGAGATCGAACAATTGAAAAAAGAGACATCTAATAAAGGCAGAAATGGGGTTGACTCATTTACCAGCTATATGAGCATGAAGAAATTCCATTTTCAGATTGTCTTCTTAAAGGAAATTACGTTCTTAGGTTTTCCAGCTATAGGAGACATTTGTTACAGGTCAACAGACAGCCGAGATTCTACTCGAACAAGAAGGAAGGTTGATGAAAGTATGCGTCAATTCCCCCCCTTTTTTAGTAAACCTGTTCAGGCGTTGTTGACAAAGCCCAACCTTGAGAAGAAATACATCAGTCTCAGACGATCTAGATTTGCCTCAATTCGCTCTTGCCTGCTAACCCCGTTACTACATAGAGGGATTCAAGAAGAGAGTCCCTATGAAGCGTGGCCAAGAAAGAGTTGGCCCCAGTCTTACTCGAAGCAGGTCCGAAGGTAGTTGAAAAAGTCTTTGAACTGAACAAGCCAAAGATGCAAGATTGAAGTTAAGACCACCTGCAACATCGCGCCATCTCTCTCATCATTGCCATCATCTACTTCTTTCTGAGCCCTCGTCCCTAAATTCCTTAGTTTAGGCGGATACATGCATAGGTCACTAAGATGAGTTCTGGCATAGTAGTCACCGACGGAAATGGAATTCCTCTCGGGTTGGACAACACCAGATACCCAGTAAGGGAAGAAGGGCTATTGTAACAAAGTTCATTGCTGTCACTTATTGATTGGTCCATGGATCGAAACATGTCTCACGCAAGAGTAGACATTCCGACAAGTTCATGTAAAATTGACCACCATGGCCTTCCTAAGTGAGTAGATTCCGCAAAATAGGAATGGTTGTCGTAAGCTTTGTTGGCCCCGAAAACTCCGATATTTGTCCGAGATTGAAAAGAGAAAAAGAAAGTTCGACTTGCATGTGTTAAGCATCTAGCCAGATCATTGATTCCTATTTGACCCCGGGATCCCTTCTCTAACGATTGGAAATGCTTCCTTCTCTATATGAGAGATTCAGTTCGTGAGATAGTAGCTCGCATGAAGTGACTTGACTTGAGAGGGTCAATTAGAGGAACAGAGGGGCTTTTGAGCTTTCATTTCAGTCATTGATGATCATTCGATCTATATATGGAAATATGGCACACGGATGAAACTGAAGAAAGAGAAGCATTTAGAAGTGCTTTGGCAACATACCCTTATAACCCCCTTGCCTTAAAAGATGACTTCCCGACTGCATTGAGGAAACGAAGAAGACATAGCTCGCATCTAATTGTCTTGCTTCCTTTTTTGTAGTGAGAGAGCTAATATTTTCGTTTTTGCTGTCAAATGTCATTCCTCAACTTCCGCATCTTCGACTTTTACGCGAATAAGGATTGGAAATGAGTTCAATCTGTTTCTTGTTTCTGACTGAGTCGCTTGCTTGTGCGCGGGCTGCTAGGCTGCTATCATCTTAACGCCGAACTGAAGCACTGTGATTTCGCTGACTATGTGGTCAATGCCTTGCCTGGTAGTTTGTTGGAGGGCAGAACTCCACGTGAATTGGAATACTAGATTAGGGATTGCTAATGACTTATCCCACCCGTCAGTAAGATCGTGACTATGACTCTTCTTCGAGCCCAAAAGCTCTTTTTTTGGTCGATCAGTTCATTTCGGAATACCCCCTTGATGGGGAATGTCGGGCTAAACTTGCCATCAGATGATATGAGGAAGAGTACGCAGCTTCGGCTGGGAGACTCGCACTAGAAATAATCTATGAAGATTCCGAGTCACGTCGTCTTGCTGAGCCTCACGCAACAGACCCAAAGAAGGAAGTATGCAGGTCTAGATCTTATCCTGAAGAAATAAATGAAAGAAAAAAGCCTCTTCACCCCCTCAAAGGGTGATACGCGGGTATAGTTATTCTACTCTAGTCAATTTAGAAACACCAGCCAGAATTTAGAAAGAAAGCTAGAGCTTAGGAAATAGCGATACACAATTACTAGAAGGCTCTTCCTTATTGGTTGCGCACGCAATAACTCTTACATCAGCTTTGTATCACTCTCCATAGCAGGTTCAGGTTTGTTCCCCCATCCGTAAACCCTTCATCTTCGTACCTGACGCATCCGGCTACTAGTATTAGCTGCCCCTGCTTCTTCGGATGCCTTTGACTATGAGGCCTATGCCCATGCCTTCCCATGGTAAACTCAATCAACAGGTTCAACTGCGAGTGCTGCTCCTTCCTGCGAGGTAGGGCAGCAGTAGATCGATAGAAAGCAAATGAGATTCAATTTCCTTACTACTAAGCCACCACACCACGGGCAGAAGGACCTATACAGATGAACCTGGCATAGCTATTATAGACCCCTTCATTAACTGACCGTTCAGAATATGCTCATCTTTTTAAAGTCTTTGAACTTAATGCTGAGTTTGTCGAAGGATTGGATCAATACTCTTTCCTCCCACGTAGAATATTGACCTAAAGAAGGAATCCTACATAGCAAACATGAATGTTTGGTATAAGGACAAGAGCATTTTCGAGCGTGTGCCCTTGCCCCTCTATATATGACATTTCTATCGATGCTTTGCCGAATTTCGTGCCCCATGGGAATACAACTCTGATTTAGAGGTAGATTGGGACATTCCTCGGTATAACCTATTGGTATAGGCGTACTACAAAGAAACCTTTGTTCACGTACGATACCCCTGTCTGTTCTCTGTGATCAAAGCAAATTGAAGCTTGGTTCTTCTTTCTTTTTAACCGTTTGCACATGCTGAGGGGTAAGGTGGCGTAGTCAAGTATAGGGGGGTAGCTAAGGAATTTCTTCCAAACTCTCTGGGAATTTCTTACATAATAATATCTTGCACATAGCATGAAAAGGCGTAGCCAAGCCTTACTGTGGACTGACAGCACAGCCACATGATCCAAGCGTTCTGCCGGAGACTGGGTGTCAGATAAGAAGAACCTAACGCCCTAAATCGGTTCCAGGACCTCCGTTCAGTTAGTAGAATGGAAATTGGACTCTCATTCTTTCGCCGATCCGGTCTATCGCCACCATGAGCCTTGCGTGCTGGCAAGGAGGGGGTTTCGGGCTGAAGGCTGTGCCCATACCTTCGTCGGAGACACACCAAACCCCCCAACAACCGCCTATCTCGTGTAATTCTGTGAAATTCTGATCAAACTTCAGATCCACAAGTCACCCTCTTAGCGCACAACCATCTATTCGTCCGAGACCCACTTCGCAGTATATGAAATGTGGCGAAACTCAGTGTGTGATTGGGCATCTCGCAGCTTCCCCAGAATGTGTCAGTTTTGGCTTGGTCCGCGTTTGATCCTTTGATACCGACCTATTTCAATAGGAGAAGCTCGGGAATCTTTCGTATAGGCTTCACCTCTGTTCTCAACCCTTCAGTTCATTCCATCTAACTTATTGAGGAAAGCAAGCGCCCGCTTCTCTTACTTAAATGAATAAACCGATCTGATTCTCCATTTGTGATGCAACATAGAATGAAACGGGTCTCGCTGCTGCTTTTTGAATAGCACTTACAAACCCCCCGATTTTCTCACATTCCAGGGTTGTTGCTATGCCCAAGTCTTGCTTTGTCCCCAGCACGTGATAATGGATCGCTACTGATTCAAGTCCTCCCACACTGAACATTGGGAATAGAAAAATAGATCTCTCTTTCACAACCAAGCGTACCAATACATAGTCAGTTGCACTAAAATGGCCTCCTTGCACCTATAATTCAGTCTGTCGACGAAAGCCTAAAAGAAAAAAGGGAAGT